CAACAATTCTCCACTAATGCAACGTGTAGTGAATGTTAAATGACGTGCTATTCGAAATGGTTGCGCTTGGCGGAAGTATGGGGTACTAGCTTTGGAAAGTAGCTCGCATGAAGTGGGGATTGAGGGAAACCCGAACACCGTCGAAGTTCACAAGCATTACTCATGTCGCCAGCAGTGGCAATGCGGCCGAAGTTCCAGTCAGCCCAAAAAGACCAACTGACAAGATGGGTGCAGCATTTACAAAGTCCTTCAAAAAGTTTACAGAGAGGTGGCAGGGCCATAGAACGATGTTAGAACGCGTTTGTGCAACAAAGAGCCAAGACAGGGCTATCAGCTAGAGATGTTCGCTAAAAGGCTTTCACTGGTATCCACGCGACACTCGTACGTGCGCCGAGTGCGTAGGCATTGTTCCCTGTCTCTAGCGGCCGTAATGTGGTGCCTGGTGGGGGGAGCAACAAAATGGGAGGTTCTGCCTATGGAGCTTCGGCTGACGTAACACTTTCTGAAAAAAACAACCGAGGCAGACTCGCCAAAGCACACTGATCAACAGACCCTACATAAGAAGGTAGGGAAAATTCGTTGTCGGAATTCTAGTAGACACAGAAGGCGGGTTTTGAACAGTTTCCACTCTCAAAACGCACTTAACTTGGACGAGACTATATGGTTAGGTGTTTTTTGATTGTGAAAACCTCATGAAACAGTAATAGAATTTAAAGTGCCAAGATTTTCCATTCAATTTGCTAGCTGAATTTTCGGACTACTGCTCCCATGCACGTCGAATGAAGCACTGCATTCTCTTACGCCAGCTACTCACACAAAAGAGATGATTGACTGCCCAGTGAAATCTCTCTTCGAAGTGAAGAGCTCGCTCCTCAATGAAAAAACGCACAATGTTCGAGGGCGATAAGATTCAGCCGGTTCACTCAGGTCGACCGAAGGTCGGCAAGGAAAAAGTGGTTGAGGTTGATCGAAAACGCCTGTAAATTTCTGACTACAGGAAGTCTTGGTGTGCGCAGCACTTTCAGCTTACTACAGCAGTAGGGAAGGGGAGCTGACAGTTAGAACGCACAAGGGTAGATGGGGCGCAAGTGCTTGATTAGGAAGCAAGGAAAGTAATTCGTTCTCTAGGCGAGTACAGTAAAACGTCTAGCGCATATTATTAGACCTTCAATGCCTCAGTTCCCACTCCATCTAACTAAAGTACTCTTGCAAGCATACCCGAAGATTCCACAAACACTGACAGTTTTACCGGACCCTTCAGCATGAGTCTGTTCACCGACATCTACTGGGTGGCCAGTTAAGCTTGCGCGGACTACAAAGAGACGCAAGTTACTATCTCAGCGATAAACATACACTCATAGAAAGACAAGGATGCGACAGTCCCTGTGGATGGTTTTCTGTGGTTGTTGTATAGTGCGATCGTCATCGGTACCGTCGCACCTGTAAAAACCGAAAATAGACGCCCTAGTAGTAGTAGCAGTAGTAGTAGTAGTAGTAGTAGTAGTAGTAGTAGTAGTAGTAGTAGTAGTAGTAGTGGTAGTAGTAGTAGTAGTAGTAGTAGTAGTAGTAGTAGTAGTAGTAGTAGTAGTAGTAGTAGTAGTAGTAGTAGTAGTAGTAGTAGTAGTAGTAGTAATACTGCTTCGGAGAGTGGACATTTGATATGCCTCCACAAGTATGAGCCAGGCAATGACCTGTTCAGAATCGGTGTACCTTACCATTGAATCTTTGTTTTAACAAAATGAGCACCTTAAGTATCGGAAACATCATCCTCTCTACAGGCGAATGTGGAGGTGATTAAATGTGACAGGTGGGCGACAGTGGGAGGCATCGGGAGAGGATTTTGGCGCTGAGTAGAAAGTATGGTGGGCTGGCGCAGTCGAAAGGGATACGGATACTATCTGGTTTAAAGTAGAACAAAACCGCTCCTGAACGTGTTTTGAACACTGTTTCCTATGTATGTGCCTGTACTGAGTCAACTTCAGTCTTAGAAACAGTCCCGGGGGACATGGAGATAGCCGACCCATGAATAAAAGATAAAATGTATAAAAGACTTTCATCAAAGCATGATTCAAAGAATAATTGTTGGACGCAACAATGCCTGTTTTAGAAAACTGGAATGTGGGCACAACAGCAAGCCTTCTTGATGGAAGACATATAACCTGACGTTGCCGGAAGGAAACTAAGGTGGACGCTGTCGATGACATATTAACGGAAATGGGAGCGAGATTAGGAAACAAAGGATAAGAGTAGATAGAAACGGTGCAGAAGGAGAAACAAGTGAGGACAACCCACCTTGGCGATCCCTTTTTCGCTATGCAGGTTGACTGCACGAATTTTGGAGGCTGAAGGGTCTGATATACGTGGTCGCTTAATGACGCTGATGCCAGCCCCACGTCTGTTGTTGATTTCGTAACAGTCACCTTGGCAGATTGGGTATTTGTGGCTGCCATGAGTTCGTAAGTGAATTATCTGAAAACAAAAGAGCAGTATTCTGAAGGGATGTACACGACAATGGGATACATATTTGTGAATGGCTGAGCTCCGTCACGTTCTCGAACACAAAGGTAATTTCACAACCAGCCTCGCCTCCTGTGTGCTCGGAACATACCCGTTACACGCCGACAAAGCTGCGCGGAGAGGCGCAATTTAATTTGTACCATCAGTGATCGAGTTGTAGTGGCCTCTCAGTCTCCCTTTCGGTGCCCCGGCAGCAGTGAGCGCCGCAGGCCACATCTTATTGGCTGGAGGAGCACACAGAGAAAATGAGTCTTCTCGCCCCCGC